CAGGATCTCCTCAGTTGCTAATACCAATTCCCACCTTGGAGTTTACAAAGACTTATGGGTAGAAAAGCCACACTAAGTAATTTACTACACCGCAGCACTTAAGTTGGCAGTGCTAATAGAATAATAATGAAACATTATAAAATACTGTCTGTAGGAAGATAATGATGCTAATAATAAAGTCATTCATATTATTATTAAAGATATGTTAACATCTAGATACTCATTCTATAAGATAAAATGTCAACTGAGTATTCTTAGATTTCCTTTAATAGATAGATATTTACATGCAATTGTAGAATAAATTTCTTCCTTTACAACTGAGGGATGCTCATCAGCATAAATAAAGTAAATATGGTTATATAATTTCCCCAATCTAATTTAGGCAATGTTTAGGAATTCCCTATTGATTTCTGCTATCCCAGTGGATACACAGAACATGTGACAATATTTTTGTAATATGTAGCAAATAGATACTTTGAGAGTGTAATGCTGAATGATTTACATAGTATTAACTAAGCATAAGTCATAAAAAATCGTATAACTTATTTCAAAATTCTAAGGAAATTGATTTTCAAAGTCATCCAGTAAATACTTGTTGAAAACCTACTTTTTGTTAGCTTAGCATAAACACACACTAGAACACAACTTAAATGTTCATTTATAACTTTTAAATAAGTTGTTGTTGTTGTGCTTGTTATGTACCGTCAAGTCGGCCCTGACTCATAGCGACTCCTCCTTGGGTTTCCGAGGCAGTATCACTACGGAAGTAGGATTGCCCAACCTTCCTTCCGAGGAGTGGCTGGTGGGTTTGAACCGCCAGCCGTCTGGTTAGCAGGCAAGTGTCTTAGCCACTATGCTATAGTTTGTATTAGAGAATAATATATCTTTCAATCAGCAGCAATTGATGTGTTGTACCATAAGGGATATTTGGAGAAGTATATTTCCTATTAAGTGTACTTTATACAAAAAGAAGATAAATACAGTTAATTGCAATACTGTTAAAAAACACATTGTAAAATATATATAACTTCAAGAATATATACATGGATATTCAAAAAGCAAATATCCAACTATTCTTTTAGATCATACAAATATAAGAATTTATTATGTCTATATATTTAAACCACCATGCATGGTTTAAATATGTAACAGACAATCAATTGCTTGTATATAAGTTGAAGTTGAAGTTGAAGGAAATTTCTAAAGGTACACAAGAGACACAATATGCCCTGGAGTATATACCACCTGAAAGAAGTAAAATAGCTGAACAGAAGATTTCAAAGGGCAGCTCAAGAGGACAAAATAAAGTATTTCAATGAAATGGTCAAAGACCTGGAGTTGGAAAACCAAAGGGGAAGAACACAGCATTTCTCAAGCTGAAAGAACTAAAGGAAAAAAAAAAGCCTCAAGTGGCAATACTGAAGGATCCTATGGGCAAAATACTGAATGATGCACAAAGCATCCAAAGAAGATGGAAGGAATACAGAGAGACTGTATCAAAAAAAATAGGTCGATGTTCAACTCTCAGGAAGTAGCATATGATGAAGAACTGATGGTACTGAAGGCAGAACTCCAAGGTTCACTGAAAGAAATGGCAAAAACAAGTCTCCAGGAATTCATGAAATACCCATTGAGATGTTTAAACAAATGGATGCAGTGAAGGAGGCACTGACTCATTTATGCCAAGGAATTTGGAAGACAGCTACCTGGCAAACTGCCTAGAAGAGATCCATATTTGTGCCCATTCCAAAGAAAGGTGATCCAACAGAATGTGGAAATTATCAAACTATATCATCAATATTACACACAAGTAAAACTGTGCTGAAGAAACTCAAAAATGGTTGAAGCAGAGAGAACAGTTCATCGAAAGAGAACTACCAGAAATCCAAGCAGGATTCAGAAGTCAATGTGTAACAAAGGATATCACTGTTGATGGATCTTGGCTGAAAGTGAAGAATACAAGAATGATGTTTAACTGTGTTTTACTGAATGCAAAGGCATTTGACTATGTGGATCATAACAAATTACAGATAACATTGTGAAGAAAGGGAATTCCACAGAACTTAATTGTGTTAATGAAGAACCTGTACACAGTCCAAGAAGCAGTCATTCAAACAGAACAAGTGGATACTGCATGGTTGAAAATCAGGAAGTGTGTATCAAGGATGCGTCCTTTCACCATACTTAGTCAACGTGTACACTAAGCAAATAATCCAAGAAGCTGGACTATATGAAGAAGAACGAAGCATTAGGATTAGAGCAAGACTCAGTAACAACCTGCGCTATGCAGATGACACAACCTTCGCTTGCTGAAAGTAG